GTCAAGTGTGTAAGATTGACCTTGGTAAAGTATTTCGTGTGTGACCGCAAACACCTTGGTAACGTAATTCCCGCGGTAAGTTTACCTTGGTGTTATTTACCTTGGGAATGCTATTTACCTTGGTATGTGTAACCACAACTATAGTGTCACACAGGTCTGAGCTAATACCAAAATCACCCAAGTCAAAAATCATACATACCTCTAATTCTTTGATTATTGTAGCAGCATCATTTGTTACAAATAATTTTTCCAAATGATTGACAACCATTTTATTCATCCCTTGAAATAAAATCAAGATTTAGTTTCATTTAATTACAATAAGATTAGTCTTTTTAACTTGTTCAAATCCAAAGATTAAAATATTTTTATTTTAATTGATTACCGTACATTTCTCTTGATGTTATATGTGTAATTTTCTGAGAAATAATATTATTGAGGGTTGATTATTTATTCTTCTCATCACCTGCGGCAACCTGTCTATTGATAATGTATCAAAATTATAGAGAGAAATTTTATGGAGGTAAACTGTGGGATTTTCTTAGCTACATCGTACCATTTGGTCCTAATGATGATCTTGTTATCTGGGTAAACTGTCGGCAAGCTGAAATGTTTCTGTAAACAGCTTCATCACGACCTGAGAAATGCTGAAACACATAAAGGTATGTTAGTCAAATTTGATTCATCACGAGCATTTACGAATACTGCCTTTTCTTGATCAAGGTGGCTTCGAAATTTCACATTTTCTTAGTTTGCTAAAGATCTGCCTACAGATTTTCATTTCACTTTGCATGAATGATTAATCAGAGCCAGTTACTAATTCCTGAAATTGTGGGGTCATACGGGTAAAGATTGAGAAAAAGGTTATTAAACTACTAGTTCCCAGTCATTCATTTTGGCTATTCATTAACACTTAAGCCTGGTTCTCATATGCCGGCGACTGTAGGAAGACACTTTAAACACCGAGGCGTTTACAGTGTGCATTGTACGATCATTGTACAAAGATTGTTGCTATGTTCCTCATGTCTGACATTATTAGCTTCTATCGACATCAATGTTTGGACTATGCATAGATCGTTAGCAGGCCTGAGTGGAACACAAATCTACGCACCTTAAAATTTTTGTAACTCATCTCGTCAGAAATGACAAGGAGCTAAGTTTTGAATGAAAAATTATTACTTCCCGGGCCGGTCTACAGCAAATCTTCAAAGATCTTGATACTACTTTAGTATCGAGTTTAAACAGACAAAGCTATTTCAACCTCCTTCAACTTTACATGGTCACAAACAAGTCCATGTACCGCTTTTTACGAGGTACAATTTTGACAAATTGTATCGCACGTGCCCACCGGCGAGGTCAGCTGGGTGAGTTTATCAAAAATCCCCATAAAACTTATTTGCATCGACAATTTTTGGCACAGATTAACAGCAACAACAAATTACTTACTGTTATGTATTGAACTTCATAACATACCTTTGCTCCTTCTTTGAGCATATGCTGAAACATCGTTTTAGGGACTGAGAGCGCCATGTTGAAAGTTTTGCCTTCACCCGATACACGGTGCTAACAGAATCCTGGGTAAAGTTAGTGCCAAGCTTCCACGTTCCGTACCCTCCCTCGTGATGAGTGTTCAGACTCAGTCCATTGATTTTTGACGAAATTCGAGGTGTTTGGATATTCGATGAAACATTTTCTCGAGTGTTTGATATATCTTCTTAATCGAAACAAAAACTAGGGAGAAAACGGAGAAGTAAAATCGTCAAAATCTATGGCTAATTATGACCGGGTATCCAAACCTCCTTCATGTACGGTTGTGTAATACGTTTGAAAAGGAAAAATCTTAAGACCTTGCCGTATTGACCGAGTGATAGCGAGGCAAGGTCGAGGTTAAAGAGTTTCCCGTAAAGACCTAACGTTCTAGATTAATTCAGACTGCTCACAGCCCTCGCTCTATTTTCTCGTATTTTTATTCGATCGCTGAACACGCGGATAGAATCGCGAGAGACGTAAATAGAGAGGCTCTGATCAGCCCTTTTTTGCACAGCTGTCACAACCCTGATTTTCATCAAAACTTTAGCTAGTGCTATATATCACTGAAAAGCCAACTGCTTGCAGATGAAAAAAAAAATGTATTCTTCAATGCTGTGTCAATTATTGTAACTTGACACCAGGCTCTCAAAGTATCACATGCTGTGTATGACTCCTATGCACTTGAGAAAAGATTTTTATCAACACTTTAAAGCAAAAAAATGTCTGTGTACTTGTATTCTAAATTAAGCAAATGTCCAGCTGCAATGAATGAGGGATTTTGCGAAACTTGAAAGTGCGAGCTCTGACAACCATCTAAGAACTCTACGGCAAATTCCCTGATTCGTTACGATTAACCTAGTGAGACCTAGCAATCCTGAAAGGTTGAGGTCAAAACTTAATTCCTTCTTGAGATATCTTTGTTCAAAGGCAAAAATAACTCATTTTGAGAAAACGAGCTTTGAACTTATAACAATAACAATAACATTTATTATTTGTATTGCGCCTTTTCTATAAAATATTCAAAAGCGCATCACAACAGTAATTAAATAACTAAAATTTACAAATCTTTCTTTAAATGGGTAAAAGATAATTACAAATAAAGATATAGATATGCTAAGATAGCTGAAATGAGTCCTTAAAT